CCAAAAAAACCAAAAAAATATAAAATGTCCCCACGATAGAAGTTGTGGGGAGTGCAGCAAAACATCACGTTTGCTTCAATATGCTATAGATGGATGAGAAAAGAAATTATTCCAGCATGGGGATCCGAACCTCCGAGCACCCACTCTTGCGTCAAGCGCTCTATCCACTAGGCCAAGCCGCCGATGCCAGGATGAAATTTAGAAACCCACTTCAATACACGGAAAACCTTTTTCCCGCCATAACTCGCGTCCCCCTTGTCCACAGCAAAAATTATTTGCAGATCCATGATCACCTACATGAGCTCTACAAAATGATATATGTCTCATCCCAAAAAGCGGGGGTAAGTTCGTGACCCTTCCTCGTTAGACATCGCAATTTAGATATCTTAATGATTACGCATCTCAGTGACTATACATTCACTTGTAAATAAACTGATAGCGGAAGATAGCGGAATATAGCGGAAGTTGCTCGCTATCGAACAGCGATAGCGCCGTTCCCGCTATCGCTATTCCGCTATTCACTCGAACTTCCGATATCGCTATTCCGCTATTCCGCTATTCGCTATTAGCGGACTAGCGGAATAGCACGCTATTGCCCAACACTGTGTAAAAGTAAGGAAAGTAGAAAGGAGCAAGTAAAAATAAAGAAAAATCTTGGCTACACCGATTATCTCAAGGATTCTTTTAATTTAGGTGCTATAACAATTTCATAATTTTGGCATTTCATTCGAAAGCGTTGCAAAACGCTCTCGATTACAACTTCTTGGTTTCAGATTGCCACCGTGATCGTTCCCGAGTTGCTGTGTGAACGTGGTACAATTAAACCGTTAGCGCAACAAGTGAATCGAGTTGCAGAGTTCGATTTTGATATGAACACAGTGATGGTGAAATCTTCCTCGAGCCGCTCACCAAAATCTGATCCCAGTTGTAAACGTCTGTGCATATTTCCTTTTTTGAGAGTCATCATAAATAATGTGACTGAGATGTTCAAAGCTAGAGAATGGTGTGCTACAATCGACGAACTGAAACATGAGGTACTTCTCATCTCTTCAGCTTCCACATCCTCTTTTCCAGGCCTCATATTGTGTCTACTTTTGAATCTTTTATCTTCAACTGTTTACTTGAATTCATCAATGGCATTGCGGTAGCATTGAATAATAATCGTAAACAACGAAAAAAATTGCAATTTATTCGTGATATTCTTTTCAAGGTGCTTTGCTGCACCCACTCTCTTCCCAACAACAAGTCCCAGTTAAAATAATTCTATTTGCAATTCTCACACGCCCATTCTCGATACTAAATAGATTACTTGAAGTAATATAATGACAGCGAATACGATACAATTAAAGGCTCAGCTCAAGCTTTCTAACACACACGAATGCACTCCCATCATAGAAAAACATGATATGAATCGAAAACATTTCTCGACAATCAGCAAAGCGGCTGGTTGTTGATGGGAAACATCAATGATGAGTTGGTGGATGAACAAATGACGAGTCCATGTGATGAACGGAACGTTCATTTTCGCTTTCTCTCAAGGCTCAACTCATTCATGGAGTATGCGTTTTTTTCGGCATGGAAATCATCCTGTTTTCATTATCTCCGACGACGTTTTGAGGAAAAACAATAAAAAAGTACAAATATAAAAGTGCGAATCGTTTGAGGTAATTTCATTAGATCCGTATATCAAAATATTTGTCGATTGCAACGAAATTGGTCATTTTTCAGCGACTGAGCATTGCAAAAAAGTCGTAGAGCGAGATGATGAGCGCTAGATGAGACACTTTTGAGAGGTTGATCGCCTCATAGTCAGAGGAGTGACTGATCACCCTCTTCACGCAGCTAATTAGCTGTTTTGGAGTAGCTGTTGACCAATGAGAACCATATGGTCTCAGAGAAAATGGGAGAGAATTTGGACTTGGAGGGGGATAAAGTGGAGAAAACTTACCTACTTCTAGCGCTTCGTTGCATTCTCGGATAGTTTATTAATTGCGTTCCAACTGCGCAATTGCCTGTCCACGCAGTCTTTCTGGTCATGCCAAGGTTATCTGAATTAAGGTGTCCTTGGTTCTAAATGAACACATTCCGAAGATGCGAAGTCATCTGAGCATAAACGTTAAAAATGAGGAGAATATCAAAGAAAACGTCCAAAACAAGCATTTTCTAGCACAGAGTTGCTCGATGGCTGAAGATCAGAAGCGAATGTCACTTTCTGTAAAATTTGGCTATCGGTGACATTCAGTGCTGTCAATAAAATGTTTTTCTCATAATCCGCCAAATGTACTCAGTTTCTGTGTTGGTATATGTCTTTACTATTGTACTGTGCCTTCTGTCTTCTTATTCTGCTCTCCTTTGGAAAGCACCCACAGTCATCCATATTTCTGACCGTTTCTTTTTCATTTTTATATTGAATTTCATCAATATTGACTATTTGAAGATAAGATTGTTGAGGTAAATTGCTAATGTTAACTTGAAATGTCATTTCAGAATTTTGTTTCCGAGCTGAATTCAATAAAACGTTTCTATCTTATCTAATAAATGGTTTTCTTGATCATTGAAATTTACACGCAATGTTTTTTCCTCGTTCGCATGTGTACATCACACGTAACAAAAGCTGAATACATCATTTTAATTTTTCCTGTTCTCCTGATATTTTCTGTGCAAATTGCAAATATGATGATAGCAAAAGCACTATGTCTCTCTTTTGAATGACTCTGAAATTAACCGAATAAGAGGATTCGACTCAAATTTTTCGTTTACCATTCTAAGTTTAAGTTCTGTTGGTTTGGTCAATAGAAGTATTATAGATAAACTCATTGATTCCATTGAATCTTGCTGCGAACAATTTCGAAAAAGTTCCATAAAATAATCAGTGACTCTTATATGAATTAGATTTTCTAGCATCACATCAACATTCCACCACCGAAGTAATAAGGACATCATGGACCAATGATAAGGACGTTCCTTCTACAGAATGTAAAAAAGCTGCATCATTTTTTCGTATTAAAGCAATGAATTAGTCTTTGGAGCTGTTGAAGACAAGTAGTTTGTAATTGGTTGATAGGCTAATGCATAATTTTCGTTGTTTGTTCTCATTAGCCATTCAAAAGATTGTCCTAATGGGCTATTGTTGGGCCCTTTGATGGAAGGGATATGTGGACGAGCGATGTATTGCCTCTCTTCAAAGTAGAACGCATTTTCTTAGCAACTCAACGGTAAAGATTGCGAGAAAACGATTTTTGAGTGGGTAGAAGGATGTACTTCAATTTTTACTCTCCGTATGGAGAGAACAATCACAGCTAAACACTCAGATTTCGACTGTAAAGCACTGCGTATTGTTGAGGATTATTGACGATTGAGTTTAAAATGGTCATCTGGTGTTGTTTTAAGGATTCATCCGACATAAGCTGTTTGAAGATTTGCAAGCATTACATACACTTCAGGACTGTTGAATTTCAACAGCGAATTTTGCACAATGGATCGTTTATTGGTCATTCATTATCTGTTGCGTCAGGTAACCAAACTAAAGACGACCAAATGATTGCATGATTAGGTACAGGCCAAATCATAGGCCAAATCTTCTTGCCAAATGTTTTATTATTTATTTTTGATATTTGATGGCCTTTTTTGGTTCTTCAGCCTCTTCGACTAGCTCGTACAGCATGACAACAATCGCTCTGAAGCACCGGCTAGATCGCCAACTGACATAACGAAACGCCTGATACGTGGAGATACGTTTCTCTGGACATCAAATGCTCTGTTCTAGCCATCCTGTCGCAAAACGGTACTTCTGATTCGTCCAGATACAGCTAGCTAAACCCCTTCCTGTAACAAAACAATGAGGGATGTGATCAGTGACGACGATTTCTGAAATTTTTTAGTTCGCGTCTGAATGTGGCACAATTTTAAGAGTTGTGGCAATCGGCCAACTTTGCGGGCAAACCAAATTTCGTCTGTTACTTCATTTCTTCTTTTCTTACTTTATCTATTCTTTAGTTTTCCTTGTCCAGATTTCAAATTTTTAATCGTAGAATGAATCTAAATTTTCGAGAGAAAGTGGTCGTATCCGATTCATACCAAACGAGTAATGTGTGCCCTGTTTCTTGCAGTTAGAATCTCTTGGAGTTCGCTGTTCGCCTATTGAGAATTTCACGTTTCGGTATATTACTTTCATTGCTATCATCGACTCCGTTTTTGATGAATTGATAAGTGAACAGCATCTTTCAAAACAGCTGGATATGCTTTGCCATGTGGTGTATAATTGGTCTATCGAACTGCCCCCGTATAGGAAAAAAAATCCATTTTTCTAAGTATGAATTGCGAATGATTTCGTTTGAGTGATTCCGTCAACTCTTTGAAATTCATTGTTTCCTATTTCACAGAAATATTCTTCTCACAATAAAAGCTCCGTCTGTTGAAGTGCTTCTGATAGAACTCATTTTGTTTCGACGAAACAGCTAAATGACTTGTCGATTTAGATCTGTTCAGTGGACGGCAGTGGTTCTGTGTTAATGAATGATCAGGTGGATTTCGTTCGCCACGATTTATGTTGGTAAGTTTGTTTTATATTGAAAATCAAACTTCTTCGGAGGGATATAATGATTGAGAGTGAATCATTCACTGCAGCGTTTTGAATTCTGAAACTGATAACGCATCCTTTGTATTCGTTCAAAAGAAAAGAGATTGAAGAATTGGTAAAGTGGCAAATTCGAATCACTCTTGTAGTGAAGATTCGTCTGAATTAGTGTCTTGATTGCTCTCGGATGAACGTTGGTTGCTTTGAAGGGTTCGAACAAGCAAAACGGCACGTTTCTATCCGGCTCGAATTGTGGTTGAGGATGATTTGAATGAGCGACAGATATGGAGTGGGAAACCACCGCTCTACTCGGTGATTTTCTTCGATCGCGCAAACGTACATGCTGGCTCTGCGTATGTTTTTATTATCTTCTGTAGATTTTTTAGGGGACATTACACTATCTGCACTGGAAATGATGAATCGGTTATTCGTAATTTATTTCGTTTTTATTGTATGCATTCTGGCCTTTCAGCTATCACGTTCGGTCTGTGTCCAATATTAAAAGTTGGCAAGAGGGAATGGAAATGGGTTTCGCTACAAAAATCTCCAAAGCCATCGTCAATCGCGCAGTTGCATTTCAAGACTCCATCAAAGCCAGACAACAAATATCGAAAAGCAGTAAAGATGACGAACATAATTCAAGTGAAAGCGATGCTTCATCATATGAATTCGAATGGCCTTATAATATTGCGCATGATGATGGCGGTAGGATTAAACAACAACCTCGGTCATCCAATTCACCCACAAATGATGAACGTTTATCGAAAGTTAGTGGATTCGATGATGCCTCTTCTTCGACCTCATCCAAAAAACCGGTAACGTCTCTCCTAACTAAATTCTTTTCACTTCATTTGCTCGTTCGAATGATTTTAGAATACCTATATGATCGGTTGGAATATCACTGTTTTGTGGAAAATTTCCTTAAAATTCGTATGTGCTCTCATCAATTTGTAAAGCCAGTTTGTGAGAGTGGTCAAACTTCGTTGAGTTTCATTCGAAATCCCAAGAGCTAACTATGGCCTGAATTGTTTTCTGTTCACGTGATTACGTGAGCCATTGTCGTGGTAATGAAAGTAAGATTCGATGTACTGAGCATCGATTCTTTTAGATGAGTGAGAAAATGTACGACTCGACGGATAAAAATGGATTCCAGATTGAAACCGATTCGTCGGCGACTGTGGAAATGCTAGAGGAGGAGTCGTTGGCAGCTGCACAAAACGGAAACCATTGCCCAGTGATGTCAGAAATCCAAAGGAAACGAGTACGCTTTTAACACATTTCAAACTTTTGTCCATTTTGTTGAATTTTGACAATTATTTTCAACCGTTACACAACAGCGCACACAATCCATTGCTTTAAGTGGTCGTTGTTATGGGAACAGAATGCTGAAGGGCTTACGGTTGATTTCATTTTTATTATTTTTTAAATTCAGAAACCAGCGGATCATTTGGAAGAGATTCAAGGAGACGGCTGTAAACAACAGTGTGTTGAAGCTAAGGTCAGTTTTGTATGAAAAGTTCGTAAACGAATTTTGAAAGTTTGGAGTTAAAAATTTTGAACTTTAACAAAGGTTTTGAGCGTTTATGTGATTAATCATTTCGTTCATGGTCGATTTTCACTCAACTTTACTTGAAATTGATTTCAGAACGGTGCGGCGACACCATCAACAGAGGTGCGAATGATGCCACAGAATAATTTGACTGATGCTGCGAATATCTATCAGACTTTGAGAGTTGGCTGGATCGGAGCAAACGATGTTAGCGAAGAAGTTTTGAGGGTTTTGCTCAAGCAGAAAAACTTGTTTGTGACAGCTTCGTTATGGGATCAAAATAATGAAGAGGTTCGTGAGTTCATGACTGGTAGAAAGGGAATCATTTAATCATTCTTCTCTTAATTTCGTATTCTCAAAATTTTGTGACGTTCCGGTAGAGTTTCGTTGAGTTCGAGGTGTACATATGTAATCAGTTGTCATCGTGAGTGACAATACTGATAGCAGTAAGAGCCCTATTAATAGAACTGATCATCAAAGTTAACCTTTCTTGCTTCTCAATTTCAGTCACGATCAAGAATAGAAGTGCAATCAGGAAGAACAAATGCAAATTAGTATTTTCAGTTAATTGTTTTTTCAATGATAGCCCGTTAAGTATGAAAGATTGTGTTTTCAGTGTGAGCAACTTGTGAAGCGTCTTACGGTTTCTGAGGCAGAAGCATCACATGATATGGCCAACGATGGTACTAACGATCATATTGACGGCAAAGGGCCAGCATCAACTGTTGAACAAAGTAGTTCGCTGGACTCGTTATGCGCTTGTTCGGATGTCATTTTCTGTTGTTTGGATCAAAAAACGTTGATGCATGAGGTGAGTGATCAGTGTGTAAATTCTTATGTTATGTTCAGTTGATTTTATTTTTATTAGCATTTATTGATGTGGCCAAACATCTCATTCTTAATTTCGTTAGTATTGAAACTTTATGATCATATTGAAAGTATCCATTCATCTTTAATTATCAGCGTTTATGCAGAATTCAATATGAAGAATATGATCCGCTTGTGTATCCTCTTGTAAAATTGTTTTGATAAGAGCACATCTGGTATGGCAGTTTGAACGCATATTTATTTATGTAGCTGGCCCTAATTGAGTTTTGTTGTGAATTGAGGAGAAAGATGAAAATGGTGGTGTTGAATTGCTGCTTGATAAAGTGCTTACGGCTGCTGGCAAAGCAAATATTGGTGTTTTCTTGATGACTTTCTTCAGCCGAGTACTTGCTAGAGCAGCTTCGCTGGTTGGTTATTTCTGTTTCTGTTTTGCATATTCTTAAGATTGAAAAGCCGTTAACTTTCATTTCTGTACTTTCTTCCGATAGCTGTTACATTTCGCGTTTTGCGGTAAATGAAAAAAAAATTATTTCTTTCTATTTTCAGATGTTAGATGACTATGCGAGAAACGTTTCCGTAGTAGGTGTATCAATATGCGGTACTGTGGGTGATGCAAATACGGCGTTTCTGAGTGGTGATTCGCAGCTTGCGAATAAATATTTCGGCATTATGCGTTGTTTGGCGAAGAAAGTTATTCTGAAAGGTTGGTGATGAACTGTTTGAGTTGTGTATATACAGATAGAAGTTCCACCGTAGAAGAAAACTGTGTTAGTTGAAATTGAATCTCATCGTGTATGCAGGTGGTAAGCCGTCGAAAGCGATGTTGTATGGTGCCTTTTATAACCGTTTCATGATGGGATTGACATTCGAAACGTTCGCTTGGCGAGCATTTGCCGCTGAATATGGAGTTGACAACGATCAGCTACGAGCTTTAATCAGTGAGTCGAACTTACTCGGCGACTTCACCAACTTGATTGTACCTGGTAGGTTGATGAGAAGTTTCTGTGCTCTTCCAACGAAGAGTTTTACGTGTAACGAAAGTGGTGAATATTCTATAATTAATGGTAATGATAAATAGCGATAATGAAGGTGGACTAGTAAAAGTGTTTGCTAGGAATAAGATGTTCGTTGGTATAATTGAATGATGAAGTTGANGTTTCTGTGCTCTTCCAACGAAGAGTTTTACGTGTAACGAAAGTGGTGAATATTCTATAATTAATGGCAATATTAATGGTAATGATAAATAGCGATAATGAAGGTGGACTTGTAAAAGTGTTTGCTAGGAATAAGATGTTCGTTGGTATAATTGAATGATGAAGTTGATGTTTTCTGCTGCATGAGATAACGCATGAGTTTCTTTTCCAAATGCTTTATGAGATTGAACGGATTTGCTTCGTCACTGCAAAGTTGACGGTCAAAATTCAGTGTTGCAGATGTTAGCGAAGTTTTAAATTCATGTATACTGGTATGCCAAAATCAGTAATTCCATATCATCGATATTTATGGCAATAATGAAAGTAATAAATGTTTTCATGAAACGGTGAAATTTTGATGACGTTCAGGTGTTTTGAATGCTCACAACGATAACGACCATGAGAAAAGTCGAGACGCTATGAAACAGGTCGTAACGTCAAACGCGCAAGCCAAATGGCTGATTTCGGCCGCCATGGGCACTTACGCATCTGCGAGCAACTCGCGAGCGATGGTTCAAAGTGGTGTGAGTATATATCAGGTGAGTGTTTCATCTTAATAATTTTTTATTCGATGCTTGTTTCACCTCCACGTTGGATTACCGCGATGAACGGTTTCATTCATTAATTCTTAGATTGATTGGCTAGTGAATGAAGAAACATCGATTTTTTGAAGTGAATTAATTGAGTAGAAACTAATATCAGTAGCAATGTTCGAAAAACATAACCGAATTTACAGCAGTGGAATACTTCAATTTCAGGTTATGGAAAGCTCAAAAGCGGACAATTTTGCAAAGGCATTTGACGAATATTTCAATCGAAAAATTTAAAGTATCCTTCTGAGCGTCATTCGCTCCTTGCTTATCCATTCGTTTTGTTTTTTCAAGCACTGTTCCCTTGCGTGTATGGAGGCGGATCTCAACTGATGATCATATTATATTTATTGAATCCATTCATTATTTGTATTATCAGTTAACGCGTGCTTATTTATATGATCAATTAACATCTACTAATCGCTTTTGCTCATTTTCGAAGCAATTCCATCGCTTTGCCTTAAAATGGTACGAGGAAGTTTTCTTTGGTGAATTGTTTTTGCCGAATTGATTCCGTCTCTGCAAAATCGTTTCAAAAATTTCGATGATTTTCGTCAAAAGATGAAAAATTGATCTAGAATTAAGCAAATGACCCGGAAAAGTTTCATCATCTTCTGCTGAATTGAGCATTGTTTCGCGACTGTTTAATCAGCTTCAATGCGAACCGTTGAGTGATCATTATTTCGAACGAAATTGAGCGAACTGCCGAATAATTTGTCTTTCTTAGCATACATATTCATTGTGTTGCGTTGAAGGAGAAAAGTCGGGGACGGGAACCTCGATTTTCCCCATTTCCCGCAGTACACTACACACATGTATGTCGTATGATTATCCAGCTATTTTTGTACAGTCTATAACATATTTTCAAAGCGAATTTTAGTGCCCCTTTCGTAATTTTTCTGAATGTGGATGATGTTTATTTCACTTTGTTTTACGTTTTCAATATTTACCTCGTACATTTTTCGTTTCATGTTTTCGTTTCATTTTTCGTTTTCGTTTCAGATTTGAAATTTTTATTGCGCTTTTTGATTTCGTGAATTTGATAGGAAATAGTTTTGATCGATGCTATTTTGTGGTATGAACTTTAACGATGAAAACGAGGGTGATTGCTTTTATACCTCTTACGCTTCGAAATATGACTGCTGACGACATATAGAAATCGCCTACTCAACCGTTATCATAGAAAAAGTGTACAGCCGAGGGCAAATTCTGGTCTCAGAGATATGTTTTAGCTTATTTATCGACTCGAGTGGGAACGAATATATTACGGCATTCGAATTGAATGAATTCTGAAGATCAGGCCGGCTTTATTGATCTTTGCTCTGCTCTGCTGGCAAGATTGGGACAGCAGTTTTAAGTGATAATTTTTAAAGGTTCTGCAATTGTATTGAAATTTTTGTGTTGTCTTCTCGCTTGTTTCATTGATTGTGGTGTTGCTGTTTTATTCGTTGTTTTCTGTTGTTTACGATCTGAGAATTTGATGAGGAAGCATCCGATGCGTTGTCATTTTTTGGGTTCTTCATGTGCAAATTAAGCATAAAATGCCTTCATCGACGACCGTTTTCTTAAATGTTTGACATTTTGGATTTATCGTTCGATTAGCTCATTCATGATTGAAGTATGTTGAACTCCCATCAAATGACAGATAATTAGATGCAAGCCAAATCATAGACTGGCTCAGGCTCATCAAAGGATGCACTTTTATCTCAGTTACACTAAATTATGAATCTATTGTGGAGGATATTCGCAGAACGCGTATTGAAACGATTTGAAGCTAAGTTCTTATCGAAAACATAAAGTATGTCGATTAGTGCAGTTTCACGTCAACTTTCATACTTGACAATTTTAATTGAGTTGTGCGTGTTGGTTTATGCTCGAAAAAAAAACGAATTACTTTAATTTCATTAGAGTTCATTACATCTATATCGCCAGGTAATTGCACGTCGCATTTCGCGAATTCTTTTGACCATTTTTACCTTTTTGGTCGATAATATCGATTTAATGGGCACTCCAGAAACTCGCTAGATTGTTGGATAGACTACTGCTTCATAAACTACTGCTCACGTGGTACCTTACTGAATATGTTGTGTATTAAGAGTATCAATTATAACAGCAATGATGATAGTAGTAATAACAAAATGATTTCATTCCATCATATATGATTAATATGAGTGATGAATGTGAGTAAATAATAATAACAAGGATAATTCTATGCATTAAAGCTGCCTTCATTAATTTAAGGTGTACAAAGTCAAAAAGTAAAAACAAATAGCAATTCAGCGATTTGTTTATTGGTATCGCGTGATTCATTGTTTGTGCAGGTACAATAATCTCGATTCACTTTAAACAGTGTAGATTATGCTTGTTATTACAGTTGGATATGTTCATCTGTTATGGTAATAATACTACGTTATTATTGTTCAGTGCATAGTACGCACGATGTATGCATGTGATGTTATGATATGAATCATTTATGAGCTGCTCGAATAATGATGCCCTCGAATGGAGATGGTAGTGTGTTTATCATAACAGAGTGATCGGACACGAAACGCTGATTGATCATTGATCACTCAGTTTGTTATTATATTGAATGATGTTAATCGTATTGTTTTGTTTAGAGAGCTATTGATGGTATTTTTCGTATACTATCATTGGTTTGATATTGGTGCAGGTATACATACCTCAACTTACGTCGATAGTTGGTTCCAGGAGAGGCGACTCAAGTCGAGTTTACTTGGTTTCGAATTGAACTGTCTCTGAATGTCTTCGAATATAAGTTTATACTTATTTATTGTACAGTAATATGATTTTATGTGCTTTTACCGCTTTTCCAATGATATTACAACCGTAGTTTTTGTGGTAGACAGACGTAAAGTTGAATAAGGTGACATAAAGTTGATTTTTATTTCTCCATACCTTTTTTGGCAAACAACGTATAATCGAAAACGAGAAGAGACATAACCTGAGGTACATCTGTATTGTGATGTTATTATTTGTGATTTTACTGGTGCTGTTTGGAATTACAGTCACATCTGTACTTAGTATCACTTCTGTATCTGATTTTTTTCGGTTCTTTGAAATTGTTATCTGAACTTGTAAGTATTTATCACAATTCTTCAGAAAAAATTACTTTTCCACGTCTCAAAAAGACATAATCTTTGTTTACCTGCCAATTCAATAGTTTAGTTCCATTCAGTAGAGAGAACGTCTCTTGTTTACAATCGAAATTTATTTTGCTCACTAATCAGCTGCATTTTGGTATCCTTACTCTGTATGACGTCAAAGATGATTAATCGATTTCGTATGGATAAATGACCAAATTCGATAAGATTTATCATTTGAAGCAGCATTTTTTTGGTCTGTTGGTTATGATAGATGGAGCGGATGAATGGTTTCCTTGACTGCGTTAAGCAATAGAGGTGCCATTCAACATCGATACAAGTAATCACGCCACGTTGTCCATTGTTTGATGCATACTTCAACTTGTTTCGGGAACGCAGATGTCTAGTGCTTGTTTCATTTCGAGTGCTTTCTGAGAATTTCAAAGAAATTCGGTATATTCAAAGAAGAAAATTCGGTTCGTCTCTGAATTAATAATGCAATCACATAGAATCGCAGTTGAAAGCTAGTGCCGGTAGTTTCTATTGATGGTTTCAAAATATCTAGCTTTACTACTATCGTTGTTATTGTGATCCTCACCATAATACTTCATTTTTAAATCAATTTGTGGCTTGCTCAACATCCAGCTGAGTGCATATCCGAAAATAAATATGCTTGGATCAGCTGAACTCTTGTTTATGTCAGCGTTGATTGTCACTTATTGTTAGTTTCAACACATTTACGAGTTTATTAACCGATCGCGCACTATCCAAATGCAGCGAAATGCGATTGCTTTTATTGTTATTAGTATTATTGTTACTACTACGATTGTTATTCATATCCATACCATCACAGTTTCTGCGTCTACTGTTGGTTAATTGTAATGTTGCACAGGCACGTTTCATTATTATCTTTTCTGTTGTGATGATTTCAGTGTTGCTTCGCTCATTCCACCAGATATTGATTTACGAACAGATGACAATTTTCAATTCATTTATTCGTTTTTGTCATTAGTTGTCTGTAAATGGAACGATGCGATAAAATGGAATTCAACGAAGCGATAAAATGAAATGATTTATTTGTGTTTTTCTACATTTTCGACTAAATGAAAACATTTATTCGAAACGTTATATAAGGTTGAGTAAGAGCGGGCGATCATTGAATTAAGAGTATTATTGGGCAAATATGTTTGTTTTTTTCACATCGAGAAATGCTATTGAGAGATGTTTATCTTATTACATTATTAAAATATTTGTCAGACGAACGAACAGACTCAAGCAAATATTTTCACTGATTACATTAAACTAATATTTATTAAGTGCTTTTTTCACGTCGTAGGCTCTCATTCGAGTGATCTTTCGATTAGATTCCACATCATAAAAGGGTTGAAAAGGTTTTCGATTTTTTTCATCACATTTTCTTAACGCATTGATCTCGTCTGATTTTCATCGATAGAAAGTAGCGTTTCCGTTGCTGCATCAATCATCCTGCTAAACGAGCTAAGATCACATATATCATTGGTTAATATTGTTAACATTAGTTTTTTTCACCTACTTTCTTAGTAGACTGTACGAGAACGTATCAATTTGAATTTATCACTAAACACCTCTTTATAGATGTTTTCGGTTGGTGTTGTCTGTTTTTTGGGAATATTTTCAGTTCATTCTGCTAAACTGTTCGCATTCAGTGCGTTCTTGTCGTTTTTTTTGTTTGCGTCTTCGCACTGTTTCTCATCAATTTTGTTTTCGATAGTGTAAAGTTGAAATCTGAAATGGAATGTGAATGTTTCGTACGATTTTAAAAAAATTTTGAAGTATGAACCAGAGAAAATTTTATCAACAACTCTACTCTCAAGAAAATTTCAAAAATAAATATTAATAAGTAGACAATAGGTTTACATCATTTCATATCCAAAACACCAACTAATACGTCTTTATTTTTTGTGCGAAAGGCAAACGGTAAAAAATATTATCTTTCAACTGGCAGAAAGCAAATAAACTTGTTCAACAATTTGAAAATATTTGAGAAACATATCTTGAGTGGAGCTTGCGATGAGCAAGTGAATCGTCAGACTTGACGAGCATTACATAAATGGATTATCCTGAAAATGAGCTGAATGCATTATGGGATTTCAAATGAATCAGTGTGGTTCGTATTGCTGCGTTTTCTTTTCGTGAATTAAGATGCCAGTGAGGAGATGATTTGAGATTGTTTAATAGCGAGGATGAAGCAATTCGTTCATGGATAAGGCATTTGTCTCATTCAATCTTTTTTGAAGTGAGGTGCTTTTCTGCAATTACTGCTCGATTTTCTGACACCAGTCAACCGTCTGAATCGGTTGTGGTTAATATCGATACTTGTAGTCATCCACCATCTTGATGGAACTCTTGATGTATAATGAATAGCCCTTCTCTGGGTCGTTGTATGTTTCATTAATTCATCATCTCATTGCAGTTTTCATTCGAAATCTCTCATCATTTCCGTTCAGCAGGGAAGCCTTTTCTCTAGGATTTTGTTGTTTATTCATTCGTTCGTTTGGTTTTTTTCCAGTTATTTGTTCGATATATATGTAGAGTTGCGTAGTAAGTTTATATGATGGTGATGTTGACGGCAATATCAGTGATAATATCGAGGATGTTAGTGGCAGGGTGTTGCTGATATGATCAATAACTAATATACTTTCTGTAGCGATGATGATTAAAGTTAGAAATGTAGATATGAATTTCGAGTAGAACAATAACATTTTTGTGAATAGATTTGTTGGTGTTGTCTGAACCATTGTGCATGATAAACCGTGACATTTGAAGGTGTTTTCTTATTTCAGACTGACTTAATGACGAATATTATTGAAATAATGAATTATTCGTGTCGGTGATTCGAAGAGGCTAAATTTGCAGCAAAAACCGTGGTGAAGTACATTCATATGCAAAGATCAGTAGCAGCTTAGTGCTAATAAATGATTCGAAAAGCAGTGGGTGAACGGGTCTAGAGGCTAATTAATCTGTTGATGCGCACGTAACTTTGTGTAATGTTCCTTGTTCCGCTTTCGTTATCTCTTGATTAACTTCTGATTATAAGCACAAATAACATTTTCGAAAACATCACTAAAATTTTTTTGTTACTTCTCTTGATCGAAACTCTTCGCATCTTTTCGATGGCCAAACTGCTATCGATGATCTTATACCATATTTTTCATATCTGCCCGTGTAATTTCAGTCATCCTTTCCATAACAATTCCCATATGTTTATTCTTCAGATGGTGTAAAAAAAATTTTTACACTATCTGAAGAATATACATATGGGAATTTTTCGATAATTTGTATTCTGATCGTTTCAATATTCGATCTTTCATCTTTTCATCTGAACAAATATGATATTTATTTTTTGAAAACGATTCGTCATGAAATGTTTTCTGACAACCAGTATGTTTTTTTTTNTTTTTTTTTGGATTGGATTTTTGTGTTTTCAATTTTAAATTGATCAGGTTTTAACAATCAGACGAAAATTTCTGGGCATTCGAATTAAATGAGATTTATTTTCAACTAAACGTTTGCAATCGATCGCAAACGTAAGTCTCCCGAGAATTTGATATGTTTTCAACTGACTCATTCCTTATCTTCCCGATGTTTCATTTGATATTTCAAGTGTTCAGTCGTGCACTTTATAATTTGCTATGTGACCTTTCGAAAACGAATCAGTCTTGACTGCTCTCTCAACGGTAACATGAATTCAGTGAATATCTCAGCTTATTCATTTCTCAACATAACTTTACTAACATAAGTGTAAATTGCCCATCATTATCACACCGTAATGCAAATGTTTCATATATCTGTCAAAGTTCTTTGATATGGTTGTTCATTCATCAGAGGGCAGGGCGGTGTTGTTTAGATGGATTGTTGTGATGAAATAAAATATGATGCTTAGTTGATGATTGCATCAATCACTCTTTGTTAATTACCTACTCAACTACCATTTCTTGATTGCTTTTAGAAGTTTCAACGATCATAGATCTATTCTTGGATGAAAGTTTATTTCATCGTCGTTTCCATGGTTTGTTGAATACAAGAACATTGACTGTGAATGTCCTTTTATGATATTCACATGCATTTACGTCAGAAACTCGTTCCATGCAGAGGGTGATTTCATTCACCTCGAGACATAATATTTGTCTGATAGCAGCGATTGAGATGGATATTGTTAGCAAACATATGAATACATTCTTTTAGCAGCTTATACAAAATGGGAAGACTCTTTTCGAACATTCCCGAATTGTTTTTGTTTACGACGACAATTGTAAATTGAAAGAAATAGGAAGTTGTGACTCAGTCTGAGTAAAAACGCTTCTGTCTCTAATAATCCATGTGATACTCCGTTCTGACAAAGCTGATTATAATACGACTATTAAATACTTGAACTGATTCAGTTATAACCATTATTCAGTGTGTACACATCAGCAGCAGTCACAGTGAGGATGACCAATGATATTATCGCTTCGTTTACTCAAGAAAAGTCGCTGGAAAAAGATGAAAAGTCGGTTGATTGAGAAGGAATTCGATTTTCGTTTGGCTTTGAGTCAGTTTTTGTTTTCCTTTCATTCGCATCCATTCCAGAGGAAGGTTGATTGAAGGTGTGGTTGTTTGAATGCATTGAGATGTGGCTAGCGAAATGATTCGAGTAACGCTTCATCACGACTGAAACTAATGAAAGAGCGCAGTAAGAGAACTGCTCCGCTCTAAAAAATTGCCATACCGCAGCTGTTTCTGCCAATTTAGTCACTGGAGTCATCGTAGAATGAATATCCCTTTAAAATATTCCATTTAGAACTCTTATACGTGAGTGATCCAGTGATCTTTCTCTATCATTTCCAGTCATTCTTGAGTAAGTCGTGTTTTAAGAATTAAAGTGATGCCTACGTTACTTTATTGTGCTACTGATGGGTATTCCATAATCGTTTTCATCTGCAAATATGTCTTCTAAATTTAATCTTGAAACACACAAATATCCTCTCAAAAAAGCTGGTTAAATGCCTTCCCTGATACATTAAGTCTTTACATTCGAATTCAATCTTCATTCGTCACTCCAATCGTTTGTATCTATAGATCCATTAGACGTACCATCGACATGAAACTTAAAATTCGAGCATTTTATGAGGAGAATGTTATCTTCACTATTGTTATTACTATTATAAATGCCGAAATCATTAATCATTACTCTGTTTTCTCATCGTCTCACCGTTGTGCTGCACAAATTATCCTCGTAATGAAAAACACTCCAGATGAACATACTAACAATCCTTCGATATAGTTCTATCTTCATCTCATGAATTGATCTCGATATTTGAGGGTTATCGAGAGTTATTGAGAGTTCTCGCTCCGCATAATTTCACTTCGGGCTAATACATCACTCTGAGCATCGAAACAACAAGTGTTCATTAACCGCATGGTCAGAGATTATTGGTGATGTCTCATATAATTGCTGCTAACGATCTTGTAAGCAAGCGTTAACGATGCATTAAACAATATATATATA